CACTAGGTTTGGTAAGCTGCAGAAGCAGGTTACCTCAGAAGAACCTGAGCCCAGATCGGGAACTGTGGCAACTTACTTGAAGGAGACGGCTGGGAGTGCAGTGGGAGGCTTGGTTCCCTTCCATAAAGGTTACATCCAACCAGGGCCTGGCACCAACTTCAGCTAATCGTTCCAAAAGAGGTGACAATTTCTGATCCCCGAGCTTCAGGCCTCCTGCTTCAGGTCCTGGTTTTCCAGAGACTCCAGCTTTCCAGGCTCTGGCTTCCAGACAGTAGCAGAGGTACCAGCCATTCGCAAAAGCTCTGGACACGCACATCACCTCTAGGCTCATGAGTAGGCCTGGTTGGTCTTAGCGCTCCTCACTTGTCCTCAGTTCTAACTCTCTGTTCCTGCCACCCTAGCAAGCTTCAAACGTACTGGGAGGAAAAAAGGGCCCCCACTCCTTTTGCTCCCACGGAGGTTGGTGGCCTATGTAGAGTATCCTGTTTGCAGGTCTGAGTTAGCAACATGGCACCAATTTTTCGCTCGTTTTCTCTTGCTCCCATTCTTTGGCATGCCCTTGGCTTTGGGAGTTTGGAGTCAATGGCTTTTCTCTCTGATCTAGAGTCACTTGAAGAGCCTGTGCACTAGTCGACACCTGAAGCTTGCAGTAAAGGATCCCTCACACTGATTGTAAAGAAAGGCTCAAATCTTTTTAAAAGAAGAGTGTTAACTCTAAAACTAAAACAGTTGCCTTATTCTCGCCCTTCCAAAATTGTCTTCGGAATAATGACATAATCCTCATTCCCCACTTTCTTACTTACATCCGAACACTTTCTGGAAAGAAACTAATTTCCCACCACACACTAATTAAAGTAGAAGTCAGGAGCCTCTCCTTTATGTATGACCTTATTTTTGCAGCGGCTGTAATGGTAATGAAATGTACTTTGCACTCTAGGGGTAAAAAGTAATATCCAGACTAACTTATTCCAAAATTAAGATTTGCTGAAACTTAACATATGAAACTTAAGCATAAAACATGATAAAAGCAACCAATTCTACTTGAATATATTTTCCATTAGTATAATCCATCAAATGTTTTTCAAAATGGGATCCATCTTATTCACTGTAAAAAACGATGTGTGTTCAAAGTTGGTATTTCACTTTTGAATTTCTATAGCCCCACTCTCTGAGTTTATGCTATATATGAATATAATTGCTACATATATATGAATATAATTGCTCATAAACTCATGCTATATGAATTTATGCTATATATGAATATGATTGCTAGCCTATGTAACATGCCTAATAAATGGGAAAAAGAATGTTCAAAACAAGTTAAAAGGTAGTATAAATATAATGGAGTGTGGGCTAGGTGGAGTCACATGGATTAGCTATGTATCACTTTAAACCATTTATTTGTCTTAAATTCGGCTCCCTCACAACTAAGGCCCTAAGAAAAGGATTAGGGTACAGAGAATTTTATTTGAGAAGTATGGTAAGAAAGTGAGACCAGGAAAGGAAGAAAACCAATAAAAATTGTGTCAATAGGTTTCTACTGAGGGCAACTGGAACTCAGTTCTACTGGAGACCCTCTGAAAGAGTATATGAAAAACAGAATTATTCCACTGAAGGACAGGAAAGCTGGGATGTACCAGTTCCCTTCCCTCAGTAGTTGAGGGTTTCTCCTGGGAATGCAATTCTCTAGTACTTCCCTTGGCAGCCTTCCCTTGAGCAGCATGCTCTTGCCACCAGAAAGGTAAGTAGTTGAGATTTGAAGCCATTGGCATGAGATGCATGGGAACTGCCACTAAAGCTGCAGGTGGCCTTAGTGGTGGGCAAGAGGATATGGGCAGGGCATTGATGATGTCCATATTCATTCACTTCATTTCTGTGTAAATTGGAGATAATAATTACCCACCTCATAGAATGATGTTAAGTCTCTTGCCCATAAAAATACAAAAAATTATTTGAATATATTAATATGATGTATGCATAATAGGCACTTCTTTTTAAATTTTTTGACATACATTAATATTTGATTTGGTGCCACTCTTTTTGTGGCACACATTCCTGTTTTCTGTAGTCTACATCTATTCACACTTATTAGGATGCTTAACTATTGCTTTACCTGGAATATGTTTCTAACTTGATTCCTTAACACCCTACTTTTCCCCCTGGAATTATTTATACATCCCCACTAGACCATGAAGAGAATGAAGACAGTGTAATTTATCCTTCAACAAAAATGTATGGAACACTTCAACAAACCAAGGAATATAAAGATTAAAAAGAAAACCCCCAGACAGTCACAGTGGTTCCTGCCTGTAATCTGAGCACTTGGGAGGCCAAAGCAGACAGATCGCTTGAGATCAGGAGTTCAAGACCAACCTGGGCAACATGGTGAAACCCTGTCTCTACAAAAAAACAAAAAAAAACAAAAACTTCTGCTATCAGGATAGTCACAATTCAGGCTCAATATAAACAAAAAATTAAACAACATAAATACATTATGGTACTCTGATAAAGGAATAGAAGCAAATAGGAGGACTTAACTGACCCCATCTATGAGTATCAGAGAAAACTTCAGGAAGAGATGGTACCTAAGCATAGAGTCAATGAATAAATAGAATTTAGTCCAGAATAATATAGATCAGACTGTTAACAGTGGTTATCTGTGGAGAGAGAAGTGTATGTGTGTATGCGTGCGTGTGTGTGTGTAGTTTCGAGAGGGGAGGTCAAGATGAAAGAATACTTAACTTTTTACTGTGTATATTTTTGTGTTGTGTGCATGTTTTATAAAGAATGTGTAATCATCAGCTGTTTGTTTAGTTAAAAAAAAGAGCATTAGCTTGAAGGTCTAATATATGCCAGCTCCTGTGGTAAATGCTCTGTATACATTATTGCATTTAACTCTAATAATCATCATTATACATATACCAAGAGAGGCTAAATATCTTGCTTAGTTCTCACAGCTGGTAAATGATAGAACCATAATTTCATAGTTTTTCTGGTTTCAGATCCGATGACTGATGCACAATTAGGGATTAACAAAACCCAAGGGAGTGCTATTAAATTTGTGAACTATGGGGTTTTGTGCTGTATAGGGAAAGAAGCAGGCCTGGAAGTAAGGCCTAAGAGTGGTAATAAATTGGGGGAGTGGGAAGGGGAAAGTCAAGTTTATGAAAATCTCAATGTACTAAAATTATAGTGGAATTAAGGTAGTAAAAACTGAAACAATGATCAGAGAAAAGCATATTATCATCAAAGAGTGGAATATAAGAGTCGAAATTCCAGAGGAAAAGCAGTTTGGGACTGAGGTGGGGTGAGGGTGGAGAATGGGATGGAAAGTAGGGGGAGAGTGATCATAGCTGGCTTTTATTAAGTTTTTAGAGTACTAGCTACTATATTGAGCACTTTGTATGCATTATCTTACTTAATCCTCACAATCCTTAGTAAGGTAAATACTATCATTACTTTGATTTAACAGATAACGTGGTTTTGATTACTTTCCCAAATTAAGCTAATAGAATCAAATTTTCATAAGGCAGCTTTATTTTATGGCCAGTTTTCTTACATATTCTTGCTGAATAGATATTATTCAGCAGATTTTTTCCAATTTGATTTTTAAATCATTTCTTGGAGATTTACAAAACAATGATAACAACAAATATTAATGATTTAATATTAAATAACAATGTGATCTAAAACACGTGTTTTGTTATATTATGGTTGTATTTTATTATGCTTTTCAGATCAAATAAAAGGGAATCAATTTTGAGTGCTAAACTAAACTACTTATACTGGACAGCTACCATTTTAAAAATCAGAGCAGGCTATACTTCAAAGAATTTAACTTACTGAAGTGTTGGGAGGAAAATATTTTGTGGATATTCAAGCTAAGAGTTTGAACACAAAGTTAAGAATTGGCAACAAAAACTTTTATTTGGAAATATTTAAAAATCATTTTATAAAGCAAACAAGCAAATGTCAGCAAGATAAAAATATCTGTAAAATAAACAAGAAAAAGACAATTCTACTTTAACAGAAAAAGTGATATTGTTGGGAATTATAAACTTGAAGAAACATGGAGATATCAAATTATGTATTAAAAGAAAATTTTAAATTAACCAAAAAAAAAGAAAGTGGTTGAAAAGAATACCTAATCCAACATACTTTAATAAAATTAACAATGTGATCTGACACATTGTTGGTAAATGCATTGAGGAAAGCTCATGGAAATTTTTTTTTTAAAAAGGGTTATTAAGTATCTTAGTATTAAATTTAACCAACTCACTTGGGAATGACAGAAACAATCATTTCAAACTAAAAGCAAAAAATAGATATTATGTTTCTAGTAGATGATTAACATTTCTTAACTCAAAGATAACTCGAATTTCAGAACATGAAAATCATATGACCTGTTTAAACAACTGTGTTCAAAACTATTCTATGTGTTAAATAGGGAAGTAAGGGACAAAAGTCCCACAATGTTTTATATAAAGCATGTCATGGAGGTTTACGGTCTTTACATAGTTTAATAAATGGTAGAGACTCTTGGCAAGTATTTTCAGAAAAATTATTTACCAACCAAACGTTACCCAAAAAAGCAAAGTCAAAGTCCTTGGTCTTCCTAACCTCTGTTGAGCAAAAATCAACCAAAGTTCAAGAGTCAAGTTACAGAAAATGTAGATTTTATTGTAGCAGGACAAGAATATTCAAGGTATTAGTCAATGTCACATTTGAGTTATTAAATCATATTCAAATAATGCAAATGCATCAAAAACTATTACATTTATTTAAAAATCATGACAGTCTTTTAATGAATTGAATATATTATTAAAAACTTTAAAAACTGTCTTATTATAGGCTTTGCAGATGCCGCTGCCACCTGGAGCTTTGTAGTATCAGCCGTGGTCAACCCCACCGTATTCTTTGACATTGCCGTCAATGGCGAGCCCTTGGGCCGTGTCTCCTTCGAGCCGTTTGCAGACAACGTTCCAAAGACAGCAGAAAATTTTTGTGCTTGAGCACTGGAGAGAAAGGATTTGGTTATAAGGGCTCCTGCTTTCACAGAATTATTCCAGAGTTTATGTGTCAGCGTGGGGACTTCACACGCCATAATGGCACTGGTGGCAAGTCCATCTATGGGGAGAAATTTGATGATAAGAACTTCATTCTAAAGCATACAGGTCCTGGCATCTTGTCCATGGTAAATGCTGGACCCAACACAAATGGTTCCCAGTTTTTCATCCACACTGCCAAGACTGAGTGGTTGGATGGCAAGCATGTGGTCTTTGGCAAGGTGAAAGAAGGCATGAATATTGTGGAGGCCATGGAGCGCTTTGGATCCAGGAATGGCAAGACCAGCAAGAAGATCACCATTGCTGACTGTGTACAACTCTAATAAGTATGACTTGTGTTTTATCTTAGCCACTGGGCCATTCCTTCTGTAGCTCAGGAGAGCACCCTCCACCCCATTTGCTCGCACTATCCTAGAATCTGTGCTCTCGCTGCAGTTCCCTTTGGGTTTCCATGTTTTTCCTGTTCCCTTCCATGCCTAGCTGGATTGCAGAGTTGAGTTAAGTTTATGATTATGAAATAAAGACTAACAAAAAACTGTCTTATTATAAATATGTATATATATATTTTTAAGCTACTGAATAGTAGTAACATCAGGGGAAAACACAAAAAAGTAACCATTACATTTCTTAAAAATTTGTGAGAGCCTCCTAATAAGTTCAAATGTATTTAAAACCAAAAAAATTCTTATTGTAAATATATGTATATTTATATATGCATATTTTAACTACAAAATAGTAGCATCAGGGGAAAACACAGGAACATTTTTCACCAATGTAAAGTATAATTTTCTTCTGATAGATTTAAAACTCGAAGGCCAGAAAGCCTTACCAAATAAACAAGATGAATCGGAAAACTAATAGTTAATTTTATATATTCCTTAGTGAGATGGATTTCTCATCATTAAAACTGAACTTTTATAAGCCTGCTGCTTCAAGTACCTTAAATAAAAGAAAGACGTGCACCACAGATGATCAAACTGTCCCAGTAACTATAGGTAAGCTTTAGATCACAATGCTTTTCCTGTGTATGAGTGCATATTATTAGTATTTTAAAATGTTATTTCTTAGATTTGAAAAAGCAGTCTATAGGCTATATAGTTGTCCAAGAATTTCATAGATTATACTTTTGCCAGTTAACTCGTTCTTCAATTTTCATTATTTAGGCGAATGTCATTGCATTGAAATATATCCTAGGTTACTAGAGAAAAGCTTCTGAAGACATTATTTCTCTAACATAAAATAACTGTCATAAGGAATATGGACACCTGTGACTTTTATACATATCTTGAACAAAAAATTAAGGATCCAAGTACTTTTCCCCTCTCCTCAAAACTTCCATCAGTTTTATGTGTGACAGTATTGTACTTAACAGGGTCTCCTTTAAATAAGAGTTTATGTAAGCAGAGTGAAAAGGAATTGCATAGTGAGGTTTTAACAAGTCCTCTTTCTAGCAACAAATTATTTCTTTGTTGAAAAAAGTTGAAATCAATTCTGGAATACTTTTGATTATTTCTCTTTCACAACATTAATGTAGTTCCCACCACAAATGTACTAACAGTATCCTCTTTAAGTATGTAAGTATGATTAAATGGATTATTTTTTCAGGGTAAGTAGGATGAAGTCTAATATGTGTCAGATTAGACTTCATCCTACTTAACTGATGAGTGCATGTGTGTGCATGTACGTGTGTTTTTTTTGTTTTTTGTTTTGTTTTGTTTTGTTTTTTTAGGGACAGGTCTCACTCTGTAACTTAGGCTGGCATGCAGTGGTGTGAGCATACCTCACGGCAGCTTGCAACTCGGGCTCAAACAATTTTCCTGCCTCAGTCTCCCGAGTAGCTAGGACTACAAGTGCACACTAACATGCTCAGCTAAGTTTTTAAATTATTATTATTATTTCTGTAAAGACAGGGTCTTGCTATTTGCCCAAGCTGGTCTCAAACACTTGGGCTCAAGTGATCCTCCCACCTTGGCCTCCCAAAGCACTGGGATTACAGGTGTGAGCCACCATGCCTGGCCTGAAATGTTATATATTTATATAATACAATGTTTTAACTAGTTTTGCATACATTGTTTCATTTAACTTTCCCACAGAAATCTCTATTTTCACTTTAATCAAAATTCAGAGAAGTGAATGCCTCATCCCAAATCCCCTAGACTATAGCAGAAATTGAAATCAAATCTCTTTTTACTCCAGATCTCATGTCTATGCAGATTGTCCTGCCTCTATATGATAGATAAATAGTAATACCTCAGTACCTATAATCTAGTTTATATTTGGAGTCTGTTCTAGAAATTCAATTTACTTTTTTAAATGAAATATGTTCTATCTTTAGTTTTGAATGATGGCTATGTAATCATAGTACTAGACTCTTTATCTAAGGCGTCAGTGCCTTTGGGAGCTAAACAAAAAAAAAGACTCAAAGAAATCAAATATGTTTAACAGTCAGATAAGTTCCAAGAGAGATTTTCTATTTTTTTCCCGTCACGTACCCCAAATGTATCTCAGATGCCTTACATTAACCAGAAAAGGGAGTGAAAATGTGCTCCTCTCTCTTCGGATTGAACAAATAAGAAAATGCAAATAAAGTTCAATTAATTCTGTACTCTGATAAAATTTAAATCATGCAGAACTTGCATGAGAGAGATGAAAAGTTGGGTATGTAGGTGTGGTGGTGTGTACCTGCAGTTCCAGCTTCAAAGCTACAGCGAGCTATGATTGTGCTACTGCACTCCAGCCTCAGCAATAGAGTGAGACCCTGTCTTAAAAAACAAAAACAAAAACAGAAACAGAAAGGAAAAGAAAAGTTGGCCCTGGTATCCCCAGTCCAGCTTGTTGTGTGCAAATCATGTATCTAGGACCACACTGCTTTTCTTGGGATTTTCCTCTACTATTGAAAAATATCTATCTGACAGAGAACTTTCTCTTCCTTAGAAGACCTTCTCTCTTTTCCCTGTGCCTGGCACATTTGAACTCTTTTGTCACTTCTTCCGTACTCCAGAACACCCCCAATCTTCCCTCTTCCTCTATATTTTAGGTTGTAGCCTTTCCTCTAACATGACTTTATGCCTAGGAAATCATGCCTTAGTCATGCAGTGGCACTTTATCATTATCATTTCTCTTGCCTATTTTCTCTGCTGGATGGAGAAGAGTAACCCCAAGCTTTTTCTTCGCATTTTCTCTTTTGTTTGTCTGTGGTTACTCTTAGATGTATATTAAAAAATCAGACATCTAGACATCTCTCACTGTGAAAATTAATCTTGTGTCAATAGCTCTCATCTGTTATGTGCACCACATTCATATTCTTCTTACTAGCATAAGTTTTAGATCTTTTAATGCTAAAAAGGCATCTCTCTCTACTGACCTTTTGTTAAAATAGCCTTAGCACATGCATACTCAATTGCCTCCTCCTGACTGGTCTTTTTTTCCTCCTCCACTCCCCTCCCCTCCCTTTTTCTCTGTCTTTCCTTCTCTCTCTCTTTCCTTCTTTCTCTTTCTTTCTTTTGAGACAAGGTCTCACTTTGTCACCCAGGCTGGAGTGCATATCTCACTGTATCCTCAAACTCCTGGGCTCAAGTAGTCTTCCCCTCTCAACCTCACTACAGGTGTACGCCACCACACCTGAGTTTTATTTTTGTAGAGATGGGGTCTTGCTGTTTCTCCTGATTCTTAAGGGATTTTTGTTTTTCCTTCAGTGCAGCAAATAGGGAATGTAGTCAGGGCACTCTGAGGGATATAAAAACATAGCTCTGAAAAGAGTTTACTATCTAGTGGAAAGGACCACCTCTCAGCTGTAAGAGGTCCTGGATTTCCTTAAAGAGGAGCTTAAGAATGTGCATTCTGATTGGAAGTGAGATTTAGAAGACTTGTCTTGATATTGACAATAGCAAGCACATAATCTTTAGACTGTATTTGGGATGGCTTGGGTAGAGATCTATTGATATTAAGGGAGAACTAAAGTGACCAAACTGCCCCTTCAGCTGTCAGTCTCTTTCAGTTTCCAGTTCTGACTTTATGTGATTTTGTGAGACCGATATATTCGTGAAATAGGGTGATGGTGCTATAGACAAACTACAAATAGAGGTAAGAAAGGTGAAGGAGAGGCCGGGCGTGGTGGCTCACACCTGTAATCCCAGCACTTTGGGAGGTCAAGGTAGGTGGATCACGAGGTCAGGAGTTCAAGACCAGCCTGGCCAAGATGGTGAAACCCCATCTCTACTAAAAATACAAAAAGTTAGCTGGGCATGGTGGCACACACCTGTAATCCCAGCTAATTGGGAGGCTGAGGCAGATAATTGCTTGAAGCTGGGAGGTGGAGGTTGCAGTGAGCCAAGATCGTGCCACTTGCACTACAGCCAGGGTGACAGAGTAAGACTCTGTGTCAAAAAAAAAAAAAGAAAGAAAAGGTGAAAGAGAATTAATTCTCTGGTGAGATCTGAAATGGCTTCATAGACAAGGTGCCATTTATACTAAACTTTAAAAAAATAGGCAAGCTTCCAACAAGTAAAAAAGTTGAGTGAAATGCATTCCAGAAGTATGGAACTAGGTAAATGATGACTAAAGATGGAAAACTTGGGACAAGCTTGGGGCATAATTAGGAAGTGATGAGTATTCTGGTGTGAAAAGAAAAATAATGTATATATATGGCAAGCAAATGCATTGGGAGATAAAGTTTGAAAGACAAGTGAGGCAAAATCGAATTTAGTAACTAAAGTAGCAATACTGCTAAGTACTGGAGCAAGGGACTTGAATTCAAATCCTGTCTCCAAATCCTACATTCATTCCTTAAACCATGTGGCCTGTCTAGCAACAGAGAATTAGCAATGCCTTTGCACTCTGTATGTTTTCTTTATTCATAAAAAGATCTAGAATCTTATGATAGAAGTTTGAACTTTAGGGAACTATTGAAACTATTTGAGCAGCAGTTTTTATTTTTTTCTTGCTGGCATCATGTATCTCAGTCACTTCACAGATCTCTTAATGATATAAATTTAGCAACTTTGCTTTATTCCGCTCCATGTGGAAAGATGCTTCCTATCTTGCATATCTGCAATTTTCTCCCCTTTAAGCAGTTATAAGCTGATGTCTACCTCAGCTCTTCACTATCTAATGCTTAAAAAAGTGAACTAAGTTGGTATTTGAAGGCAATATACTCTCAAGTAAATCTAAATTATTTTTTCTGTTTTTTTTTTACACCTTTGCCCCCCATTCCACCATTCTAAACTATAGTAAAGAGAAAAAATAATTTCTCCACCACCACTTCCCCTCCACTGCCATTCTACTCTCTACTTCAATTAGTTCAGCTGGTTTTTTTTTTTTTAAGAGTCTCACCCTGTCATCCAGGCTGGAGTGCAGTGGTGCAATCTTGGCTCACTGCAACCTCTGCCTCCAGGGTTCAAGTGATTCTCATGTCTCAGCCTTTCCAAGTAGCTGGGACTACAGATGGGTGCTACCATACCCAGCCAA